TCCGCCCAGACAAAATGGCAACAATGGAGTATCTGCAGAACAACAAATTGCTCAAGGAATTTTGAGTAATACTACGAATGGTCAAACTGCTCAGCGACAGCCTCAGAGACAAAATGGTCCACCTCCCATGGGTGCAGCAATTCACATGGCGCCTCAGCATACCCCGCAAAATCAGTCCATGACCGTCACTCATGCCGTTCATCCAACTCACCCAACTCCCCCATCTGCCATGAATCAAACTCGAGATTTCGCAACGCAGCAACGGCAATCACAATCCCCCGCGATGCAAGGACAGAGTCTTGGTGTTCAACGACCCCCGTCCATGAACCCCTCCCCCGCCAACTCAAACCTCGGATCTACGAGACCACAAGATTCACCGGTAAGCTCCACTCAGGATATGTCCATGATTGATCCTCAGCTTGCGCTCGATCAACAATTGGATCCTAACGGTTCTCTTCTTTCTCCGGCGGACGAACATGATCAAACCGAAGCTCCGGAAGTGACTCCTGGTGAAATGTTATCTGCCCCACCAGGAGGTAGTTATCCAACTTTCGAGGCCCTTTTTGCAGCTGCGCAGGCACATGCTTTGGCACATGGTTATGCGTTTGTCATTGGCAGATCTAAACGCGACAATAGAGGTCTGAAGAAAGTGTTCTTGATTTGTGATCGCGGCGGAACCAATAAGGAGAAGGTGCCCGGTGAACAGCGACAGCGTAAGACAAAATCGCGTAAATGTGGTTGTGAATTTGGAGTCTTCGGTCTCGAAAACAAAACTTCTTGGCTTCTACGAGGTCGGATTGATGGAGAGCATTTAACGCACAATCATCCTCCGAGCGAAAGTCCCACTGAGCACCCAGGAGCTAGAAAATTAGATCCTAAAGCAATTGCTGCTGTAAAGGCTCTTGAGGAAAACGGTATATCACGTCCTGCCCGCTCACATATATGAATGGATTGCTAACACTATTCTCAGGTGTTTCTGTAAAAGAAACCCTTGAAATTCTTCATCGTGACAACCCTACTATTCGCTTCCTTCCTCGTGACATCTACAATGCCCGAGCCGCCATTAAACGCGACCCTTCTCGTGTTGAACCTACAGCCATGGAGTCTCTTCCCACGTTTTACAAAAAGCCCCCCATGTCATTTGAAGAGAAACTCCGCGCCGAGCTCCGAACTGAGGTAGCGAATGCCCAAGCAGAAGTAGAGAAAATCAAGGCCGATTGGAAGCAAGAAGTAGAAGATTTGAAGGAACAGTTGAGGCAAAAGGATTTAGTAATTCACAAGTTTGAGCAATTCATCGATATCTGTAACGAGCGGGTAATGATTAGAAGGGACGAGTTGTCGGATCCCCCCGCCAGCGCAGAGCCAGGCGCAAACGCTATAGCAAATGCTATGGGAAACGCTATGGGAAACGCTATGGGAAACGCTATGGGAAACGCTATGGGCAGTAGCATGGGCAACACAATGGGCTAAATTGCTTCGACCTTTATTGATTAGATAAACGTACTGATGGCTGGACTACAAATGAATCTTAATGGATATGGATCAAGGAACGGAATGGACTATGGGATTAGGGAAAAGGGAGTTCTACTTGCTTTAATTTTCCTTACGGCGGATATAATTGGGTCTGTGGTTCTGGGAGAGGTACTATTATGGCTGTTTGGTGTCTGGGATTGGGAGTGAGGACGGATCTCTGCATATTATTGTGTTATGCTCTCTTATGATGGCTGGTATTCGATTTCGGTGTTCATGGTATGTCCGTGTATGAGATGAGACACAGATCTTCACTCAGGTGGCTGTCTTCATCAGAGGATCTTTGGCACAAGGATTCAACGTAGGGGATATGAGATACATCTTATATTCGTCATCTGTCAATGAAATTGATATAATTTAAACAATTGGTCTTCTTGATGATTTCTGTGAGACTGCTTGCGCGTGGATGTTATCAAAGACATTTCCTATCATTCATGCGCATGTTTGAGGCTTGAAGATCGCTCACGCGTGATTGCGGCTCAAGTCAATGAGGGGGATAGTTCTGTGAGGAGGAGAAAGAGAACGAGGATCCAATAGTTCAAGTTCGAAAAAAATAACATTAAAATAACGAATGTGTTAAAATATAAAACCGAGACTGAATGAATATCATTTATGCGTTGTAAAGTTTGAAGAATGGATTTTAATAAAAAATGAATAGTCTTTACCAATTTTGGTAGACATGCGTACGTATATGCGTATAAGGAACGGGTTTGTTCCAACTTATTCGAGACTCAAGCATTGCTCCCGGTGAGTGCCCATCGAGCATTTATTAAAGTTGCATTGCGAATCCCCATTATTTTAGTGGTGGCGTGGGCAGCGCTAGCATAGCAGCGGCCGCATCGTGCCCCACGATTTTGACTTCCCCTCCAAAATTTTGAAAGTTTATTGTACATTCGCGCAATATCGACATTATATAGAAATGCCTTTCGATAGCTGGATTTCGAGGCCGATTTGGTCTTATGAGATCGATGGTAAGTTATTCGTTTTTCAATTTACATTGAGAAAATATTAATACTTCTACAATGTAGACATCGTCGCACTATGGCATCTTTATCGCATTCCGATTATTCTTACGACGGCCACGATCCTCATACTCGTCAGGATAACCCTTCGTCCGCGAACAGTGAGGGAGAAACTATCTGCATCGCCTTTGCCATCATCACCGGTTCTACCTGCGGTGAAAGAAAAGATATCACCACCTGTAATTGACGAAAAGAAAGCCAATGGCGTCAAAGCCCCACGAAGAATAGTCGGAGGCATTAAAAAACGCAAATCTTCCGAGGAAAACCTGCAAAGTGGCCCTGAAAAGATTCAACCGCTCGTTTTCTTTTCATCATTGACTGGCACGACAGAAAAGACCGCAAATTCTTTTGTGGAGAGCATTAGAGGCGATCTCTCTGGACGTGCAACTGGGCAAAAAATTCAATTTCTCGAATCTCAACTGCTCGACCTCTCATATATTGACTACGATGACTACTTCATTAACCCACCAAAGGGCGAATCTGGAGTTAGCTACTTTTATTTAGTACTCATTCCCAGTTATAATATCGATACTGTGTTGGACAATTTCCTGGAACATCTACAAGAAACACACAATGATTTTAGAATCGATACCGCGCCATTGTCGCCTTTGGTAGGGTACTCAGTGTTTGGGTTTGGGGATAGAGAGGGTTGGCCAACGGAGGAAGAAGGATTCTGTTCGCAGGCTAAGGACGTGGATAAATGGTTAGCGAAATTGACTGGAAGAAAGAGAGCATTCCCTCTAGGAATGGGCGATGCGAAGACGGACGCAAAAGAAAGGTTGGCAGAATGGAAAGAAGGAGTGGTAGACGTGCTGGAGCATATTGCAAAGACTGGTAGTCTAGGCGAAGGGGTTGTTGGAAGTGGAGATGCGGTAGAAAGTGATGTAGAGGATATTGAGGATGACGATGATGGGGAAGTTCTTTTTGATGAACAAAATGTTGCTTCGAGAAAAGCGAAGACTCAAAAGAAAGATGACAGTCTGAACGATTTAGAGGATATTGGAGGCGTTCTGAACAATACAGAAACCATAGACAATACTACTGGTGAAGAACCGGAAGAACTCGAGATAGACTTCACGACAGTCGGATTGAAGAAGGGGAAGGCCAAGACGGCTCCAGTCGTCGCTAAGGAAATGGTTCCAACAACCTCACCTACATATGCAGCTTTAACAAAGCAAGGCTACTCAATTGTAGGGTCGCACTCAGGAGTCAAGATTTGTAGGTGGACGAAATCGGCTTTGCGAGGCAGAGGTTCTTGTTATAAATATTCATTTTATGGCATTGCATCTCATCAATGCATGGAGACTACACCATCATTGTCATGTTCTAACAAATGTGTCTTCTGCTGGAGACACGGTACCAACCCCGTTGGAACCACCTGGAGATGGAAGGTAGACCCACCAGAAATGATCTTCGACGGTGTCAAGGCTGGACACTACAAGAAAATCAAGATGATGAGAGGTGTTCCTGGTGTCCGAGCCGAACGTTTTGCGGAAGCAATGCGCATTCGTCACTGTGCTCTAAGTTTAGTCGGCGAACCAATTTTCTACCCTCACATCAACGAGTTCACGAGTATGCTCCACAAAGAACACATTTCCACCTTCCTTGTTTGCAATGCACAACATCCAGATCAACTCGCCACCCTTCAGCCCGTCACTCAACTCTATGTTAGTATCGATGCTTCAAACAAGGATTCTCTGCGTAAAATCGACAGACCCCTCCATCGAGATTTCTGGGAACGTTTCCAGCGCTGTCTCGAAATCCTCCGCGAGCGTCGCTTTAAACAGCGTACCGTATTCCGTCTTACGCTCGTCAAAGGTTTCAATATCGAAGATGAAGCGGAAGGTTATGCCGATCTTGTCGAAAAAGGATTGCCTTGTTTCGTGGAAGTTAAAGGAGTCACATATTGCGGAACATCGTCTTCCGCTGGTGCAGGTCTCACGATGCAAAATGTGCCATTCTACGAAGAGGTTTGCGCTTTTGTCGAAGCTCTTACTGCATCCCTCAAGAGGAGAGGATTAGGGTATGGTATTGCAGCAGAACATGCTCACAGTTGTTGTATCTTGATCGCATCTGACAGATTCAACATTGCGGGTAAATGGCATACGAGGATTGACTACAAGAAGTTTTTTGAGTGCCTAGAGAGTGGAGAGAAGTTTGGCCCAGAGGATTATGTGGGTGCCGAGACTCCAGAATGGGCAACCTGGGGACAGGGTGGATTTGATCCAAGGGATGAGAGAGTATATAGGAAAGGAAAGAATAAGGTTCCCTTGCCGGAAAGTCAAGGCATGGTTATGGGAGAGGTTCAAGATGGTGGTGAGGATAAGGTTGCTGAGAACAGCACCAAGGATGAATTTTCTTTCTAGGTAATATCAAACAATAAATATCGATATCAAGAAAGATAAAGCCCAACCCTATGTACCATTTTTTTCTCACATCATTCAATTACTACCTTTTTTTCAAGACAATCATATGCGCTTTATCACATCCCTTTCGATAATCATTTAACTCCACACTAACAACCTCCAAAATTCCTTCTGCTTCCAGTTTCTCAATCTGAGCTTTATAACCCCCAGATTCCCAAACTTCTTCGAGAATAGTAGCAATAATAAGACCACTTGGGACAAGTATCCGAGTAAATTCCCTCAACGCAGGATCAGGACCAACATGTCCATACGTAAATGTCCCAGCACAAGTCACCAAATCATACGTTCCATCCGGCACCTCAATGGTCTGCAACAAGTCTCCTACGAACAGATTGCGATAACAGCCCGTTAGACGTGCTTGAGCGAGCATAGCGGGCGAAAAATCAAGGCCATCAATTTCCGTAGCACCGCTTTCTGCAAGCGCAACCCCCACGAGCCCGGTGCCACATCCGGCATCGAGAATGCGGAGGGTTGCATAGTGAGGAGATTGACAGGCGATTTGCACGATGAGGGTTGGGGCAACGTAGTTTTGGAGCGCAACGATGTGAGTGTTGTAGGTGGAGGCCCATTGGGCGTAGAAGGCTTGGAGGTCAGAGGGAGGGAGATTACTGCGGACTTGGGCGATGAGTTGGTTGGCTGGGATCATGGTTGGGTTAATTTGGAGGTGGTGTTTGGAGCGCGGTGGATATGTGTTTTGAGACGGTGGGTAAAAGGGGAGAGGTGATGTGGGGGTTGGAGATGGCTTGTTTGGGGCTTGATGAGGGAATTGTGTTGAGATACTGGGTAGGTAACCTTGACCTTGACCCCGCACGTTAGGTAGTACGAAGTCGGACAATCAGTGCTATAATTGCCTGAATAAATTGGGCTAAACTTGTGAGACTTTTCATACAGAATAAGATTGCATTAGAAATCAGATGCATGGAAACCTCCGTAATCATAAATGCTACTTTCTCTATAATTCGAGCAGATACGAGTAAGAGCACAATATTCAACTCATCAACTATGATATCAAATTTCGCTTCTGCATCAAGAGAGAAGATGAATCTAGAGTATTCAGACAGACTATTCATATTTATTCTTCGTTTTAAATTGGATTGAACAGATAGCTAAGAAAGTCATCCAAGTCAGCTTGAGGAAGTCTCGTTAGTACATTCGCTTCTTGAGTCATCACAAAATATGTTTCTTTGTTCTTCTTCTCAATCTATTATGCATTTCAAACGAGGGGAGGAGAAAAAGGGAGCTGGCTGGTACACGAGATTTGAGAATTGTATTTTTGACCTATTCACTTCCCTCTGCCTTATGCACTCTCCCATTAATAGTAATCACATTCAACTTCTCCTGATCCTGCAAGATCTTAATATTCTCCAAAGGAATCCCATCAACCAAAATACAATCGGCATGGAACTCCTCCTGAACCTTTTTCAACTCATTTCCTCTCACCAGCAGTGGCAGAAATGATAGCCTCCACAGCAGTAAACCCGAGAAGATTCACGAAATGAACGAGATCTCAGGCGTAGGTTCTATGAGGTGTCAATGTATATCCATCATCATTTCCAGGAAGAACTACGATTCCTCGTTTACGTATTTCTCGGAGACCGTTGATGGTAGCTTCGAGTTCTTTTTGGTAACCTGCTTGTGAGGCTTTTTCGTGTGAGTATTCAAATCCACTGGAGTTATTTACTGTTCCTCTTTTCAGTTGGAATCTATACAATGAGAGTCAATAGAGAACTGATAAGTTGTAAATAACCAATTTATTCCTATGGGACCACAGCTTCGAATTCTTGTCTATGGCGATGATTTTCAAAATGCTAACATTCAACAGGCAACGAAATGGAAGCCTAGTGATAAGACTCAGCTGTTAAGAAAGTCTTACGAATCAGCGCGTATCTCGCAATGACTCTTTCCTTACCCCACCTTGGGAACAGATCTATAACCTAAATGGATTTCCATCGACATCTCCTTTCACAAATTGGCACAAAATCCCAAAATTCAACATGAAATCATTAGATCCCTCGAAGCTTTTCACAGAAGATTGGATAATAACTATCCCGTCTCATCCGCACCTCCGCTTCATTCGTCTAATCCCCAGCCGCTACGACCATCTAGTCCGCATTTTCAGCAACCCCTTAAACGACCCCAACAACCGCACTCCAGACGATACCAGCTGGAAAGAATCCGATTCTCTTGATCTGATAAAAACATACACTCAACGCTTTTCCACTTCCAAAACCTCACACAATGCCCTAGCACTTTTAGTAGAGGAAAATGGCAAAATTGTAGGCATAGGACTCATGCATGAATTTGAACATCAACCCCGCTTCGCGAATATCGGTACGATTCTTGAGGAAGCGGGAAGGGGTCATGGGGTTGGCAAGATTTTGATGGAACTACTTTTGAGGTTGAGTTGTGAGTTGAATGTGGATGTTGTGGAAGCGGGTACGATGAAGAAGAACGCGCCGATGAGGGGGTTGATGAGGAGTTTGGGGATTGAGGAGATAGAGGAGGAAAAAATCATGCCGGGGAATAGAAAGGTGGCCGACATTATGTTTAAGGATATTGAGAGGCAGAGGTGGAGAGATTTTGAGATTCAAGTTGAGCTTTTGGGAGAGGTGGAATGATGGGGGATTAGAAAGTGGTGGTCAAATCACTTATTTGATACATGCATTTTATGGGATTTAAGTTGGGCTGAATTTGATTGGATTGTCAAAGTGCTAGAAATCTAGTAGCCTACTACTTTGTCGCCCCCCCCCTTAGCTCCCGAGTTTGACTCGCTCTCTCCCTCTCTCCTAGAATCTACAAGGCACCTGCACATGTACGACTTCTTATCATGCAATCAGTATCTTGAAGCTCCTTCATTACTCCGCTGGTTTAGATTCATCTCCCTTAACAGCTTCTTCAGCTGGCGAAATCTGAGTTCCTCCACAATGAAAGCATTGCTTGGGAATGAAGTCTTGTACCCAAACACTCTTTCCGCAGCCCGAGGTGCCGGAGCACTTGTATTCTTTTCCGGATCTCTCCATATTGATGTTAGGTCTTGAATTGTATGTATTGAAGTTTCGTACTGATATGTGTGGAATAGGTGGATAAATTCGTTCGAATACTCTTGAAGATCGATTTCGGGCGATTGATAGAGTTATGCGCTGGAATTGATGCTTGTTGATGATATTGTAAAGGTGAAACAGAATGGTGAGAAGTAGGAGTCTAAATAGAAGTCTAATTCGAAGCTAAGACGACGGGTACGGTGGTTAATTCCAATGCAATGTTAGACTGTGCTGTGAATAGGGTGCCCATGGTACTGATCTTGAGGCTGTACTAGAGCTAATCAAACTTATAGATTCGTGAATGGTGGCATACAATGCGTATCAAGATGGTTGTTCTGTACGGCTGTACCATATGAACAGAGATCAAATCGCCGACAATCTTGCTAATTCACTTCAAAGGGCCAACTGCTATGGCTGTCCGATATTTGGCGTACTAAGAAACCCGTACCGGTCCAGCTTTTTTGGATCTTGATGCAGCAAAATCCGGCCCGTGATAATAGCTTCGGGTAGTGACTCCGCCCACTCGCCCATCCGTGTATGGCGGATAGATGATCCGGTATTTGGTATAACTCTATTTATTTTGGACCAGCTTGGCAAACATCCATACCCATCAGGATCTCCATTGACGATAATCCGGGGACCGAAACTGGGTCGATCGTGCGGATATCGTCGAGCTTCGGGTACCCAATACTATTTGAACCCTTCTTCGCTAGACTTCGATAACGTTTAGGTCGGTAAGATTAGCATCCTCCTCATATGTACTACCTGCAGCAGCGGTTTTCGAATTATCATATTACCGAGGCCATGACACATATAGACGGCATTTGCAAAGATGTCTACTAATTGCGCGGAGAATCTAACGGAAATCCTTCATTGAAGTCCGTTCACTTTAAGACCATTAGCTCCGTAGACCTTGGGCTAGACTGAATATAAATGTCCACGACGCCCCAACTAGCCCCAACGGCCCCCCTTCATCGTGAAGCTATGACAGTCTCCACAATCCCCAGCTGTGGGTGCCATTTGTCACAAATTCGGGCCGATTCTTGTGATGTGTCCAGAGTATTGGTAGGCTAACAGTCGGGACCTACCGAGTTGATGGATTAAATGGGGTATTGTGAATACGTACCTAGTTAAAGTTTGTATGGGGCGATTGCTTCAATCGCTTCCAATATGCGGTGACCGTTATCATGTCCCTGCGGGGCAGCCACCACGCTCTGATCTGGCCATTCTATTGAAAAACTCAGACAACCATTTTCAGCTTCATATGCGACTTTGTGGAAACTAAATAAAATAGTCGGAATTCAAGCCGAATCTGAGCTTTCGAGGGGATTTAGTTTGAAATTTGGGAGAGGACTAAGTAACATCTAACAGTCATGTAATCAAGCGAACTGTCTAGGGAATTCAAGACTCAATCATAAAACATTAAAATTTTCATATGCCCGGTCCTTCCAAAGCTGTTCTGTGACGTAAAAGAATATATCCAAAAAATTCAATCAGCGCCATAATTTTCCTGCTCCCATATCCGTAAGATTTAACATAACTCGTTTCGCTGACATAACTTTCCAAAAGCATTCCTTCATAAAGGCACATTATACCCCTTGAACTTTCGCGCCGGTACTCCTTGCTCAAATAACCAATCCAACTCATCAAACTTCCTCCCGTTAGTTTCTGGAACTCTTAGCCAGACCCATAACGTTCCCAAAGTTGATGTCCCTGCAAAAATAAACCCAATCTTTCCTCTCAGATTTGCTGAGTCTGGGTTTATCAACAGTGGAATAGCAATATTCATGACAATACCAAACACACTCTGTACCACTATACCCAACCCAACTGTCCTGGAACGCAATGATGATGAAGGAATTTCAGCAAAGAGTGCCCATCCCATTGGTCCAATAGTCGAGAGATAGATAAACGAGAAAACGATTACACAAGCTACTTGACCATAAGCTGGTCCTTTGCTGGAATAATTAGGTAAGATATCCAATATACCAATCAGCAAGAGCAAGAAAGTCAACATGGCTGTTCCGACAAAAGATGTAGAACGACGTCCACATCTATTGATAAGAAACCATGAGCAAATCACGCCCAATAATCCCAAAATAGTAACTCCAACTGATAATGTAAATGCGTTAGAGTCAGACATGCCAGCAAGTTCAAAGAAGTAACTCGAATATCCAACTGAGAAAACGACACCAGTAAGCTGGGCGACGGCGAAGATACCCATCGAGATTTCGGTACGACGGAGGTTGGAACCTCGGAAACAATCAAGGTATGTGGTTTCGGAGGAATTTTTGGACTCTGTTGAAATGATTGTTGTCATTTCTTCTGCCGTGTCAAGAGGAGATAGATAACCTAAACGAGCGAGGGTGGAGGTTGTGTTGTCCATGTGAGAATGACGGAGCAGATACCAAGGCGATTCAGGTGCGAATGGGAGACCGAGGAGAATGATTGTTGGAAATATGAATTGGAGAGCAAAGGGGATTCTGTAGGCATTCGCCGAGGCAAATGTTCCCGTGCCCTTAAGAACGAGATTGCCCGTGAGTTGACCGATAGAAATAAGTAGTTGAACCCCAGAGGTGGTTAGGCCTCGTATAGTCGCAGGACA